CCACCTGTGTCTCTGTCTCCTGGTGTCTCCCTCACTCCTACCTGTCTCTGTCTCTTGGTGTCTCCCTCACCCCCACCTGTGTCTCTGTCTCCTGGTGTCTCCTTCACACACACCTGTGTCTCTGTCTCCTGGTGTCTCGCTCACTCACACGTGTGTATGTCTCCTTGTGTCTCCTTTACCCCCACCTGTGTCTCTGTCTCCTGGTGTCTCCCTCACTCCCACCTAAGTGTGTCTCTGTATCCTGGTGTCTCCCTCACTCCCACCTGTGTCTCTGTCTCCTGGTGTCTGCCTCACTCCCACATGTCTCTGTCTCGTGGTGTCTCCCTCACCCCCACCTGTGTCTCTGTCTCCTGGTGTCTCCCTCACTCACACCTGTGTCTCTTTCTCCTGGTGTCTACCTCACTCCCACCTGTGTCTCTGTCTTCTCGTGTCTCCCTCACTCACACCTGTGTCTGTCTCTTGGTGTCTCCCTCACCCCACCTGTGTCTCTGTCTCCTGGTGTCTCCCTCACTCACACCTGTGTCTCTGTCTCCTTGTGTCTCCCTCACTCCCACCTGTGTCTCTGCCTCCTGGTGTCTCCCTCCCTCACACGTGTGTCTCTGTCTCCTGGTTTCTCCCTCACTCCAACCTGTGTCTCTGTCTCTTGGTGTCTCCCTCACTCACACGTGTGTCTGTCTCCTGGTGTCTCCCTCACTCCTACCTGTCTCTGTCTCTTGGTGTCTCCCTCACCCCCACCTGTGTCTCTGTCTCCTGGTGTCTCCTTCACACACACCTGTGTCTCTGTCTCCTGGTGTCTCGCTCACTCACACGTGTGTATGTCTCCTTGTGTCTCCTTTACCCCCACCTGTGTCTCTGTCTCCTGGTGTCTCCCTCACTCCCACCTAAGTGTGTCTCTGTATCCTGGTGTCTCCCTCACTCCCACCTGTGTCTCTGTCTCCTGGTGTCTGCCTCACTCCCACCTGTCTCTGTCTCGTGGTGTCTCCCTCACCCCCACCTGTGTCTCTGTCTCCTGGTGTCTCCCTCACTCACACCTGTGTCTCTTTCTCCTGGTGTCTACCTCACTCCCACCTGTGTCTCTGTCTTCTCGTGTCTCCCTCACTCACACCTGTGTCTGTCTCTTGGTGTCTCCCTCACCCCACCTGTGTCTCTGTCTCCTGGTGTCTCCCTCACTCACACCTGTGTCTCTGTCTCCTTGTGTCTCCCTCACTCCCACCTGTGTCTCTGCCTCCTGGTGTCTCCCTCCCTCACACGTGTGTCTCTGTCTCCTGGTTTCTCCCTCACTCCAACCTGTGTCTCTGTCTCTTGGTGTCTCCCTCACTCACACGTGTGTCTGTCTCCTGGTGTCTCCCTCACCCCACCTGTGTCTCTGTCTCCTGGTGTCTCCCTCATTCACACGTGTGTCTCTGTCTCCTGGTGTCTCCCTCACTCCCACCTAAGTGTGTCTCTGTCTCCTGGTGTCTGCCTCACTCCCACATGTCTCTGTCTCTTGGTCTCTCCCTCACCCCCACCTGTGTCTCTGTCTCCTGGTGTCTCCCTCACCCCCACCTGTGCCTCTGTCTCCTGGTGTCTCCCTCACTCACACCTGTGTCTCTGTCTCTTGGTGCCTCCCTCACCCCCACCTGTGTCTCTGTCTCCTGGTGTCTCCCTCACTCCTACCTGTCTCTGTCTCTTGGAGTCTCCCTCACCCCCACCTGTGTCTCTGTCTCCTGGTGTCTCCTTCACACACACCTGTGTCTCTGTCTCCTGGTGTCTCGCTCACTCACACGTGTGTATGTCTCCTTGTGTCTCCTTAACCCCCACCTGTGTCTCTGTCTCCTGGTGTCTCCCTCACTCCCACCTAAGTGTGTCTCTGTATCCTGGTGTCTCCCTCACTCCCACCTGTGTCTCTGTCTCCTGGTGTCTGCCTCACTCCCACATGTCTCTGTCTCGTGGTGTCTCCCTCACCCCCACCTGTGTCTCTGTCTCCTGGTGTCTCCCTCACTCACACCTGTGTCTCTGTCTCCTGGTGTCTGCCTCACTCCCACCTGTGTCTCTGTCTTCTCGTGTCTCCCTCACTCACACCTGTGTCTGTCTCTTGGTGTCTCCCTCACCCCACCTGTGTCTCTGTCTCCTGGTGTCTCCCTCACTCACACCTGTGTCTCTGTCTCCTTGTGTCTCCCTCACTCCCACCTGTGTCTGTGTCTCCTGGTTTCTCCCTCACTCACACGTGTGTCTCTGTCTCCTGGTTTCTCCCTCACTCCAACCTGTGTCTCTGTCTCTTGGTGTCTCCCTCACTCACACGTGTGTCTGTCTCCTGGTGTCTCCCTCACCCCACCTGTGTCTCTGTCTCCTGGTGTCTCCCTCATTCACACGTGTGTCTCTGTCTCCTGGTGTCTCCCTCACTCCCACCTAAGTGTGTCTCTGTTTCCTGGTGTCTGCCTCACTCCCACATGTCTCTGTCTCTTGGTCTCTCCCTCACCCCACCTGTGTCTCTGTCTCCTGGTGTCTCCCTCACTCACACCTGTGTCTCTGTCTCCTGGTGTCTACCTCACTCCCACCTGTGTCTTTGTCTCCGGGTGTCTCCCTCACTCACACGTGTGTCTCTGTCTTTTGGTGTCTCCCTCATCCCCACCTGTGTCTCTGTCTCCTGGTGTCTCCCTCACTCCCACCTGTGTCTCTGTCTCCTGGTGTCTACCTCACTCCCACCTCTGTCTCTGTCTCTTGGTGTCTCCCTCACACCCACCTGTGTCTCTGTCGCCTGGTGTCTCCCACACTCACACGTGTGTATGTCTCCTGGTGTCTCCTCCACCCCCACCTGTGTCTCTGTCTTCTGGTGTCTCCCTCACTCACACGTGTGTCTGTCTCCTGGTGTTTCCCTCACCCCCACCTGTGTCTCTGTCTCCTGGTGTCTTCCTCACTCACACCTGTGTCTCTGTCTCCTGGTGTCTCCCTCACCCCCACCTGTGTCTCTGTCTCCTGGTGTCTCCCTCACTCACATCTGTGTCTCTGTCTCCTGGTGTCTCCCTCACTCCCACCTGTGTCTCTGTCTCCCGGTATCTCCTTCACCCCCACCTGTGTCTCTGTCTCCTGGTGCCTTCCTCACTCACACGTGTGTCACTGTCTCCCTTGAAGCTTCTCCCTTGAAGCTTCCCCCTGATCTCCCTCATTCTCCTGTGTTCGTGTCCTACGCTCGTGTGGTGTCTTGTGACGAAGCTTACAAATTCAATTTTAACTCCGCAGCCAATACAGATGGGTTCCCACTTTTACGACGTTACAATGCGTTCCTTGGAACCCCATCGTTAACATGATTGTTTATAATCGGACCCTATTTTCCCGTAGACATGTATATATTCTGAACTTCTTTCACACCGTACATAGCTAACCGTGCTAATCGGAGGTGCAAAAGTAGATACAGTACAAACATCACTTGCCGATGCGTCTTTTTTACCTTTAGCCGCGGTATTTAACAGGGTTCAATCGGTGAAAAGCCACAAAAACACTTGAGATAAACAAAATCTCCACGCCACTTCTCATCGGAAACCAGACTGACTCTGTTCATATGTGGCCGGAGTCGTGTCGGAAGACGAGTCGCGAATCAAGTTTCTGCATCATAAATCAATCCGTGTTTGCATTGTATAAACGTCGGAAATGTGGATCGTCGTAAACCGGATACCACCCGTACAATAATTTAAAATTTGTGGGTTCTCGGTTTTGACTGCATTGAATGTGTAATATATAGTGTGCTCTATTTAGATTCAGTTTGAGTGCTTTTTATAAACTAGGACATTTATGATCTATCTTACCACAAGCAGTGGATCATGACGGAAATAAGTGTCAGGCCCACTTCCATTCAGTGGTCCGCCGAGATCGTTATTTATTCTCCCTCTTCCTCCTTGCTTGCATAGCTACATTGGCCGCGACTTAACCATTTGAGACACAATGGATCTTTAGTCTCTTGATTCGGTATCTCAGACTGTGGGAACTCATTAATAATCTCTACACACATCCACTCTTCCATTGCCAGCACCCCAATCCAACGTTGACAGCTTGATGAATATTCAGCTGAATGTTTTATTCACGTGCGCGCGCGTTGGTAAGAGGTTTTTTTGCGGGGGGATAAGAGGCATTGCAAAGGGAAGAGACATCAATTCAGGGAAGGCTTACACTCTAGTAGGCCTGCACTTGTAATGTGCATCTCTGTGAAATGCTATGAACATCTATTAAATCCGCATATTTGGAACATTTATTTATTTATTTATTGAAGTTGAGCGCTTCAATTATATTTCCATGTGAGCTCATGATGCAGATAACCCCATTGCATGGGTTTATTGTATTACTCACCTCTTCCTTTCTGTTGTATGCTAATCAGCAGAACAGTTGGATTGCAGATAGTTATTATTTATATAAAATAGTCGGAATATGTTTGACATGGTAATTATTAGGTAAGAAATATATTGATCCATTCCTTCCCCCTCTTCCTGAACGCCCATCGTCTTTAGTATTGTTTGTTGTTGAAACGTTCTGACCCGCCCTTACTGGACATGTGTGAAAAGAGCTTTTTAGATAATCGAATTTCTCCAAGGATAAATCAAGATTCTGATTTTGATCTGCACCAGTCACTACACATCAGCTGTTCATTGATTAGATAAGCCTTTGCATTGACACATTGAAAACACAACATCTTTCAAAGTCTTGAAAACATTTCAAAAGATTTAGTGAAAACCAAATAAAATTATTCACATAACTAAACTCTAGCCGCTGGGTTGTGTGCGGGTGCGCCCCTGTGTGTGCGCCCGTGTGTGTCTGTCCCCGTGTGTGTGTGTGTTCGTGTGTGTGTCTCTGTGTGTCTGTATCTGTGTGTCTGTGTTGGCCCACGTGTGTGTGTGTACCCGTGTGTGTGTCTCTGTGTGTCTGTATCTGTGTGTGCATCTCTGTGTGTTTGCCCCCGTGTGTGTGTGTACCCGTGTGTGTGTCTCTGTGTATGTCTCTGTGTGTGTGTATGCGCGCGCACATCCCTGCAGCCTGCCCAAGTGTCAGCTGGAGGTTGGAGCTGACAACTTCTCCTTGTCGACAGTGGCTGTGGAGTCCTGCATGCCCCCCCCACCTCGCAAGAGCTGCCAAGAGTCGCCCAGCCTGCTGCCCAGTGCCCGTGCCCTCAACTATTATGACAACATGCTGTGTACGGTACGACCTTACGATGTCCCCTCTGGTATGTCGGCCTCATTACCGTTGCTTTGCTCCTCTTTGCAGTCAGTGGCAGTTCCGCCGAGGCCTACGGCTGTTGTTTTCTAATTGACGTCGGCGCTATGTGTAATGAACGCAGGCCTTGTGTGGAGCACTGTGACGCAAGTGTCAATGCTTGAGGTATTGCTTTGCATGCATTATACAATTTGAAGCAAATAATAATAATAATTACCTTTATATAGCATCTTTCATCAGTGATCCCAAATCTATGTACAAGGCGTAGCAATGAAAACTCAGCATAAAATAACTCCTGAAACTAAAAACTTAAATATGGCAAAGTACTAAAATAAATGCTAAAAACCATTCACAGAATTAACTATTAATTTGCATAACCAGAAGTATATAGATGAGCCAGGGGGGGTGACAGGGGTGACATTCTGCGTATAAGTGTACGACACTCGGTCTGGCGGACTCCGTGCAACTGCATTGTCAGAGTGTGTTGCCAACCGCTGGCGTCTAGTTTAACAGCCTGACTCTCTAATCATTCTTGAAATTAAAATTTGTTGAATGCCACCCCGGCCTGAAATCCTGGCTCCGCCCCTGGTTGTAAATGTCTGCAGACTGAGAGATGCAGAGATCTCATGGGGAAGAGAGTTCCAGAGTCCTGGGGGACCACACGGGGAACAAGGGTGCCATGGTGACTTGGAGATGTTAACTACCTCGCCTGGTATAGAGAAGATTGTGGGTTCGATCCTGACCCTGACGCCTGCGGTATATTTGGAGTTTGTGTGTCTCTCTCCCCATGGTCGCTTAGATTTTGCTCCAGTTCCTCTGGTTTTTTCCCTCCACATTTAGAAAAAACATACGTTTAGAGTATTTGGCTGCTATGCATTTCCAGATCGCTTTTGAAAAAGACCTATACAGCTCAGTGGCCCTTACCTTATAAAGTAAAACGTTTTAATTGTTGGCTTAGAACAGCTCGGTCAAACATCGACCTGGGAGCAGGTAGAAGATCTGCTCCCCCAGATCTTATAGACCTTGAAGGGACCTGTAGGTGCAGCATCGAGTATCTGATGCAAGCTGGGGCTGGGTGGTTAAGAGCTGTGTAGGTGAGCAAGAGGATTTATAAATTGAATCCTCTGTGGGACTGGAACCCAGTGCGGAGAGGCCAACACGGGCACGATGTGAACTGAAGCCAACGTTATGGTTAACCACCCCGGCAGTGACACCCCCACATGAATGATAGCCGCATGGCTTAGGGAAATGCACCTAATTCTTCACATGACCTGGCCCAGTGGAGAGAACATGCTGTCCGCTTGGTCGCACCTGACGTCTGAATTACTGATTTGATAGGCGCTATATCTTGATACATCAACAGTTACTTACTGAACGTTTCCACTCGCTCAGTTTGATGTCGTACAACGGGACGAGTGAAGAAGCTGTCATTGTGCTGTTTTGAGTCTCTTGAAGCAATCTGATGAAAATTTTTTATTCTGATCCTCACAGTAAATATACAGTTGATCATCGATTATCCGGCGTGGGATTATCCGGCTTGCAACATTATCTGGCTGTTTCGGCCAATCCGGCGAAACCGCTCCAGTCTGGCGATAGGCACCATGTGCGTGACTAAAAAAGTAGCTCTGCTTGATTTCAGTGTTAAATGTTATACACAGTACATTATACATTATATACAACTTGAACAATGAAAAGACTGCACGTGTATACATCACCCCATGCAGAGTCATCGAGATTGTAGTGGTAAGTTCGGGTACAGGAAATAAATTAACCTTTTAAAGTACAGATAGTCCCCGAGTTACGATGGTCCGACTTATGATATTTAGATCTTACGATGGCGAAATATTTTAGCGATTTCATTTTAGGATTACCACGATACGATACGTTCAATGCATGTTAAAAGTTTTTTTTTTTATATAGCAGATAGGATTGTTTCCTGAAAAAAACTTTCTATCAAATTGCAGTACATATAGGTAGATTAAGAATTTACCTTGTTTTTTTACTTTACATTTGACTGTGCAATACCGTAATGTAATTAATAAATACATACAGTATATAGTTTATACAATACGGTACTGTAAATTGCTCTGTTTTGCTAAATTATCACCATTCTTTAAGACTCCTGGGTAGGCTAGGCCATCTTCGACTTACGATATTTTTGACTTACGATGGGGTCGTCGTAACGAATCTCCATCGTAAGTAGAGGACTACCTGTAGTTTTTTTTGTCTATTTGTATGTTTATTTTTGCCAATTTCCAATAATAAACAAATTTAAAACATCATGTCATACAAGAATGGGCAAAAATAGGCTATTTTAAATAAAAAAATATTGAGTGAATTTACTGTCATTGCATGTTTATATTATATAAATACTTGTATGGTAGTAAAATGTGGAACTTTAAACGTGAAATCTAATGTAGAATATGAAGTTTGATTAAATGACAGAAATGGAACAGCCACACAAATGTACATATCTAAAGTGCCAAGAAAACGTGTGCTAAGAATAAACTCCAAGGAAGTGTGGTTTCACTAAGATTATTCACTTCAACATTAGAACACATTAAAAAAAACTGTATTGGAAAATCAAAAGCATATGAATATATACGTGAACCATCTCAGCTTTGCTGATGACGGCATTAGTATGTATGTCGAAATTATTTCGTACCATATGTAGCCAACCGTGCTAATTGGAGGTGCGGGGAAAGGACAAGCTAAACACAAAAAGCAGTTCCAAAAAAGGAGTTTTCAATTTATATTTGAAAGTGCACAGCTCCAGTGGCTTCCTAATATCGAAAGGAAAAGCATTCCAGACGGCCAAAGAAGCACTTCTCAAAGCGTCTGATGCGGTGACCATCTTTTTTCGATGGTTAACCAAAAGCCACTGCAGCGAGGATGACCGGAGTTCGCGTGACGGATACTGCTCCTAGGACGAGATCAGCAAAGTATTGTGGTTCATTTGTGACAAGCACTTTGTGTGTAATGAGTGTGACCTTATAATTTATTCGTTCAACAATTGGAAGCCAATGCAGCTGGGCGAGCACTTGACAGGCAGGACATTTTAGAAGAACTTTATTTTTTAAAAGGCTGCAAAAAGTTGAGCTAAGGATGAATACGAACAATTCCAAGGTAGTGTGAACCAGTTCACGGAATAATGGACGATCTCTTCCAGGGAAGCACACATGGACGACACAGCAGAACGTGTTCCTAGGGTGATGTTGAAGGTGACCGAGATCGAAATGATGGGATGGACGAGGGCAGTGGAGAGCTTCTAGAAAGCTCCAATTAGCATGGTTGGCGACGTATGGTGCAAAATAAATTCCACATACATACATAAACTCACACGGAGACCTATAGTTTGTTGTCCTTCCCCTGCACCTACGATTAGCACGGTTGGCTATGTACGGTGTGGAAGAAAGTTCAACATACGTTAATGAGAAACATAGCAATGTGCCTGAAGAAAACAGCATTGAATCACTGTGTGCTATCTGCTATAACAAACGTTAAGAAATGTCACCATTAACAACAACAAAAATATGGAACAAAAACTGAACACAAAGCATGCTTGGAATGACAGTGATAGACAGAATTAGGGAAAACTGTATTAGATAACAAATGGACATATTGGCGGTACACCGGTGCAGCATAACACACTAGACCTCATACAACAGTCGAATGATGTCGCTGTTGCCACTTCAGTTGAGCTGCAGAACTCTCCATGAGAAGTTGACACCACCATACGTCATAATCTTTGTGATGCCACTGTCCACCAATATATTATTCTGGAAGTGAATCGAGGAACAACCGTCTCGACAAAGTCTAGGTAGGGCACGAGTGCAAATCTTGCCTTTGGAACACGGAGCCAAACAATCGTCGTCAGGGCTGGGTGCTGCTATATGGCAACAGACTGAAGCTTCGTGGTCAGCCGCTCATATAACCGTTCTGTCTTCTAAACTGCCTCGATATCACGAGAACTGATTTTCATGCACCACCACCCTACAAGATTTTCTCACCGGAGTTGCGAATCGCAGAAAAATAACAAAAATAAATAATTGTTGCACACAAATTAGATTTTTAGTTTTTGTTATACCGCACACCAGCGGTGTAGTACCGCCAATATGTTCACATGCCGGTTCTCATAAAAAATGTAAGGAAAAGTATTTTGGCTTGGGCAGGACCATGTCTACCGGAGAGACAATGGCCAGTGGTCAAGGAATAATAACAAAGTGGCATTTGAGCAATGTAACGTGTCCTAGGGGCTCCTTCAGCGTGGAGATGGAGCGATGAAATCGTTTCATGTGCGAGTGCTGGGTGGATTATTACATCTCGGGAACATGAGAGGTGGCCGTGACTTAGGGAGGCCTTCATCTAGCTTCGGATTGACCCTGCCTGATGATGAATTTGAAATATATTTGTTTCCTCTAATGAACGTTCTAAATAAGCTGATTATAATAATGAACGTTCTAAATAAGCTGATTATAATAAAGAAACAATGGTGAGATGTTAACTACCTCACCTGGAATGCAGGAGGTCGTGGATTCAACCCCAACCCTGATACCTGCTGTATATTTGGAGTTTGCATGTTCTCCCCGTGATCGCGTGGATTTTTCTGTGGGTCCTCTAGTTTTTCCCTCCACATTTAGAAACATGCATTTAGTATTTGGCTGCTATAAATTTCCACATGTTAAGCCACTTCGTTGAACTATCACTTGTGGCCAAGTTGCTTCTGAAAAGGAGCTATGTAGCTCAGTGGGCATTACCTGGAAAATTGAACAATGTCAAGCTAATCTGTGTGTTCGGTATTAGCTGTGCTGACAGGGTCGAGGATGAGGGAGAAGGTGATAAACTACAATTATATTTCAATAGAACTGAGCTGTCTTCATCTCACAGATAAATAAGCATAAACCATCGTCACAAGAACTCCAATCATCCTTGCAGCAGCGGCTATTGGCTAGCCATCGAACAAAGACGGTCACCGCATCGCGCGCTTTTCATATGCGCTTCTGTGGCCGTCTGGAACGCTCTTCCTCTGATATTAGGAAGCCACTGGAGCTAAAGTGCACTTTTAAATAATTTAGATTGAAAATTTATTTTTTTCTAAGTGCTTTTTGTGTTTAGTTTGTTGTCCTTCCCCTGCACCTCCAATTAGCACGGTTGGCTATGTACGTAGCAAAAAAAGTTAGACATACATAATCAGCCCAAAACATCTGTAAAGCAGCTACTCCAATTGCTGACCATCACATTAACACCACTAGCTAAAACACGTAGCCTTTTGCGACCAATATTATGTATAACAGAGGTATTTTGGGTGAGATTAACTGTGAATAACTGTGAATAACCCGACTAATCATGGATATTCATTGTAATTTATATGGCTACATTAACCCCCCCTCTGCTCTTCGCACCTGATTGGCTCACAAGTAATGACGTCACATATATCCCTCTATTTAAGACAAAACAGCAGGAGGAAAGACAGCGTTCCAATGAGCGCTGTCTTTCCGACAGTTTTGTTTCTTCACCTGAGGAAGGCTACTTGTGTTGTGGCCGAAACGTCGTGAGAATTTTATTTTATTGTTTTATTTTATTATTTTATTATTCCCTTCTACGTGACTTTACTGAAAGAACCAAGAAGATTAATCCCTGCAGTCACGAAAGCTTTAAATCGAAATTTAGCAGGAGGATTTCTCCACAACTCCGACTGTCGCCTGATGAGGCTGAGTCTTAATGTTGTCGGTTTCCTCTCCAACACACAATTGGTAGTGCTGAACTAGTAACTAATTGGCACGTTTTGCTTCCATGACAAACCTTACTAATTGGCCGTGTCTGGTGGTGGCGAGTTTAACAATTAATTTACACGATTTAACCCCAAAAAAACCTCTTATAGCACAGTTTGTTACCGCGCCCTCTTCATGGTTTGCCGTTCACGCACGCGTGCCTTTTGGAAGACGCTGCGTGTTTTGACATTTTTTTGTTTAAATGGTAAAAATGTTGTTCTGGCCCTCCCGCAGGACGACCCGAGCCAGAAGCAGGAGAAGAACGGGGAGTCTGGGGCAATCACTGTGGGGCACGGGAAGCCTCTGAACGCCAGCGCCTCCGCAGGGCACCCCCCGCACGTCCCGCACGCTAAACCCGAGAACACGTCCGACGACAAACCCAGCGATAGCCGCTCCTTCCAAAACAACCTTGCCTGAAGGCGCGCCGGGTGGAGTAACCACGTGGCAACCGCGTGGTGCTTGCTCTCAAACCTTAAAACCCTCGCCTCCGAGCTCCAGGCATCTTTTCATGCACAACCACAACAACAGAGCGGAGTCTCTGGTAAGATTTTATCATTTTGGAGTGGCAGCGGTGGTTCTTAATAATAAAGGTGTTAAGTACACGTCACCAGCATTTAATTTTAGGCATTGTACGGTGCTTTTTATTGGCATTCACTGTAGTTACATGCGTTTACAAGGTTGTGTGGCAGTTTTAATACTGGTGTACAAATAATCCCATCCCACTGGAATTGATGTTTCATTGAATCATGGTTGTCAACCACGTACCATACCCATGTGCAAATGTTGACGTTTAGTTTTAACCTAAGTTAAAGGAACCTCTTTGTGTTTCACTTCGTGACAGCGAAGGGAAACGCAACTCGTTAATAAACCCGTTTCTTGCGAACTATCGCACAAAGTATTTTAGGGAATTATTTTATTCACTCGGACTTTGCGATCGCCCTTGAATCACTTTAGCATGCACTCTCTCTCTCTGTCAGTACGGATCAAGCTGTGTCAAGAGCTTTATACCTAAACAGATTTCAGTTTAACACTTAGGCTTTTGCGACCAATATTATTCATAAACGTTTTTGGGTTAGGTTTACTGGAAAGTTTCTAATGACAGATTTATCTGCAGAGGTAAACCACGATAGATTTAAATAGATGTTTTGCTATAAAACTTAAAAGCAATCTCCAATTGTGTAACAATATTTGATAAACGTTCAACTTTGCTATTTTGTTCTACAACACAGGGCTTCACGATGGCGAGCTGTTAACTACCTCGCCTGTTATACAGGTTATGGATTCGATCCCGACCGTGATGTCTGTATATTTGGAGTTTGCGTGTCTCTCTCTCTCTTTCCTCGTGGTCGTGTGGATTTTCTCCCGGGTCCTCCGGTTTTTTCTCTCCACATTTAGAATAAACATCATGCGTTTAAAGTATTTGGCTGATGATAATTTTCCACATGATGATAAGCCACTTCATTTGGCTTATCATTTGTGGCCAGGTCACGTCTGAAAAAGAGCTACATAGCTAAGTGGGTCTTACCATAAAAAATAAAACTATAAAAAATAGTTGCATGTTAGTTAGGTATTGCAGCCAAATCCAGCCCCACCTGTATGAACAATCATACAATGCAAGTTAGATAAGCCCCAATACCATACCCCCCGGATCTTCCCCTCTTGCTCAGAGGCCCAGTTTGAAGATCTTACCGAAAGCACTGAAGCAATCTAGGTTGTGAACTTTGGCCTACTCTATGAAAAATAAAGTACATCACTGGGGACTAATATAGCACCTTTTCCAAATTTCCGCAGGACCATCTGGAAAAGTGTTTGAGACTTAGCGAGGCGTTCCTGGGTAAATAAGTGCCAATCATAATAATGAAATCTAAAGTTGCCTAGGCAACGTAGGGAAACAAGTCAAATACATGTACAATAAATATGGATAAATACCATTGCATAAAAAGATCAAACGGGGTTTTATTCCGATGTAGAAATTAGAGGCAGAATTGTCCATTGCAGGGGTGTTCTTACCGGTTGACAGTTGTTAATGTCACGTGACCTTATACTGGTAGGAACGAAGTTGTAAACTGAGTGTACCAGCCTGCAATAGATTAATGTGTCCATCCGTACGTCCCCTTTCAATACTTTAACGAAGTGAAATCTCGTGCTGTTGGGGTGTAAAAATAAAATTGCGCAAAATTCCAATGTTCCTACCAGCCCACCCTGCAGAGACCTGTTTCCAGCCAACCAGGAGCATGATATATGCTGCAACATGAACACACCTTCAAGATAATGTAAAACAAAGTCTTGGAGATCTAATACTGATTTGTACTTGTATATGGTTGCAGCCCATGTTACATAAATCATAATGGATATAAATATTGTTACTCTTTGGTTCTATTCGGTAAAGTCACGTAGGTAAAAAATAAAACAACAAAAATGTTTGTTTTATTTTTATTTTTTACCTACATGACTTTACCGAATAAAACCAAAGAGTATGGATCCTTGCAGTCACGAAAGCTTCAAATCTAGAAAATAAATATTGTTGCAAGCTGCAAGTTTTAATTTTATTTGCGTATTTCGAATACAATTTTCATATTTGTTTCCAACAAACAATGTGTATAGGTATATATAAAACACATATTACTTAAGAGTGCATCGGAATATGGTCATCGAGAAGTAACTTGAAATAAAAAAACAGGGTTTACATGGAATTACTTAAACTATAATTGAAAAGACATTTTGCAGAGTTGGTGCTGCAATTTTCTTTAGGAATCGTCATTTCTCATTTGGAGATGTCTAAAAATTGCAATCGTCACGACGTTATATATTTGTAATGCTTAGCCAATATTAGCTTGTATACGATATATATTACATTTTACATGAAGCAAGTATCCAATTTGCAATTACTTGCTTGCAATAACTTAAGAGCACGATTGCCAAAAGGGTGTTAACACGAGAAAGCATGCTGAACAGTGTACAATTATTCATGTAGAAATTAAAAATTTAAAGCGAAAATAATGAAACAAAAACCTCTTGTTAATAATGGCCACATCCAAACACTTTATTTTTTTCCCACGTAACGCCACAACAGCCCAGTATGTTCAGAGCACGCGCTGTTTGTATCCAGGCCTGACCTTTGCACGTCCTTTCATGCACCAAGTCGGTCTCCCACACAGGGCGTGGGGCATCCCTCTCCTCCCCACCGCCAACGTACTCGTGAGTCTGTAACGGTACAAACAGGGGCGGGCCACTCGACTCTGTATTCTGCACGCGTGGGAACGAGAGCCGTGCTGCTTGCCTTCACTTCGCTTCATGCCGGTGCGTGATTACGCGTCAGCACTGTAGGTTACCATCAGCCATTGTTACTTCGCTTGGATGCGGGCCCTCCCCATGTCATTACCATCCCTCATGGGCTTGCCATCCCTCTGGTGGAACCATGAACATCAATAAGCCGATGCGCACATCTCCTTCATAAATGGAAAATCAAAGGCACGAGCCACAGTGCTATTGTGGGCATGGCAACCCAAACTACGGACCGTATAGTAAACCCACTGTGGTCTGCGCTCCTTCAACAGAGGAAGACCAAAACTACACGAACTCTCTCTCTGCTGGAGCCCTCTCGTCGTGGTCAGCAGACATCGGCATCGAGCTCCTGAACGTATTTGTGCGATCGTACACAAGAATAGCGTGGTCTTGTGATGACGTAATCTGTCTCGATCCTGTGCGTGGGCTCAGATCGTTGCTCGATCTCTGTAGTCGTCTCGGACGTGTTTGCTCCTTTGGTTGCCATTATTTTTTCTGTGCGTTTAGTTTGTTGTCCTTCCACCGCACCTCCGATTAGCACGGTTGGATGTGTAAGGTATGAAAGAAGTTCCACACACATCACACACACATCCAACATATGTACATAGATACATCCACACAACATACGTAGATACATTTCATCTGCAGTCTCATCTGTGGGCTGTCAGCCCTTCCCACGATGCGTCCTCTCCATGGCCACTGCAAGTTGCAGGGTGTGGGTGTCCCTCGTTCACCGCTGAATCTCGAAACGTGCAAAGCATGTTCAACGTTATTTTTTTTTAGAGAGGCGTAGTAGTGCCATTGTTTTTAAAGACGTCATTACTTACCGAAGTGAACCGTCGCGACACGACCGCCTCTACTCTATGATAGCTGACACCAACACTGCCACACGCCCTCCCGCATGGCCTTGTGGGAGCCTCGGTACATCTTCCGATCTGAAGACGTACCAACAAAGTTTTTGCACACGTACGTCATCGGAATGGGAAAGGCTTAATGCACAGTTAATAAGTTGGCTCTAATTTGCATCGGTTTTCTGACCCATGTGTTCACATTTCTGTTTCTTGATGTAATTACAAGCCTCCGTCTCTGTACTTCATGAAAGTCTTCTTTAGGAACATTGCATTGATTTATTTATTATCATATTCAGTTTTACATCCTTTTATTTGTGTATTTTCTTTCCTTAATGTATCTCAATTATCTTCAATAATTGATCTCGGTATACACTCTTGTGTTGTTCAGTAGTGTCCTTCAAACAATGATTTTCGTTTGTTTAGTAAACTTGAAGATTACGGCGTAGTAATTCATAACCTATCGAGCCACACTTGAGATTATCGGAATTAAAGTTTAGTGCCCCCAGCCTGCGCCAGTGGGGGTGGGGTGGCACGTGCCCCCCCCCAATGATCCGATCGAAATCCCTCATTTCGATCGGATCATTGGGGTTTATTAGTAATAAATCGGCATTTTGCGACCCCCACTGCCACTGTGTAACATATTATTACGTGCCAGGGACTCTATGAGATGATAGGACAATAGTCCGAGTCCATAATTGGAAATAAGTAACAGCAAAGCAGTAATAAGTGACTCAAAATTGTGCGCAGTTGCGTATACAGTACACGACTTCCCTGAAGGCATTCACCTTCAGCGAGCGCTATGCCAATCACACACGGTTCGAAATCGACCCTCGATCGATGGCTGTGCCATTGCCGCACACGCGTCGAATAAAAAGCAAGGGACAAGTCCTTACTTACTAACAACTCCTCTATCATTTTTCATTGCTAGAGGGGTTGCACCCCCTGCCTAAACATCCTGGCTCCGCCATTGCCCCCAGCGCAAGCAAACCATCACCTTTCGGTGCCATTTCATACGTGCTGTATGTAGTTGATTTTATTTTAATTGTTTTAAGCTTAAACATACAATGGCACAACAATAAACTTCAAAATTTAATGCATAACATCTACAAAAATATAAACAATTAAGCTTTTAAGATCTGAACACTTAAATTAGAAAAAGCCACTTTTGCAAGATACAAATCATTGTGAAACAACCTTACAGTGTTATATTTAACGGCATAGTTCGGCTTGATTTGCATAATCAATAATGGCGCATGCTATAATTAGCATTGTAACCCCTGTATCAATACACTGCTCGATGAAGGCCCCCCCATGCTGTGCGTTGTGGGGTTGACCATACTTCACCACATTGGTCAGTGGAGGTTGAAGGGACAGCTACGTATATTCGCCAGAGTAAATAAAGGGGGAAAGTATGACATTTGTTTTTAATAGTAGAATGATTGATCGATCGTATATGAAGATACCATGGTCGATGATAAATGTTAATTTAATACATTAAATAGTACTGTATCGTATTACGCTCGATTTTTAAGGGATTAGTTTACCGCAAGAAAGTTATATTTTCACCGTTTGCCCTGTGGACTTTCTAGATTTAAAAAAATTCCAGAGTTAACATTTGTTTAAACGCGGTACCATTAACCCATTTTGAAGTTTCGGATTTTCATTAGCAAAGTGTCACCTGCTTAATTTTACACGGTATACAATATAAGTTAAATTGATAGTTCATTCCATGCTGCATTACTGTACTATAGAGCAAAATAACCACCACGAAAATCAGTCAATCAATCTTTATTATACATGCCAATATATAAAGTGGTCATCAGTGCACATTACAGCGGAATGGGAACGGTACAGGGGGCATCGAGCAACAGGAATGAAGAAAGAACCCCGTCACGACCTCAGCGGCTAATACTAACTGAGCTCAACGAAGTGGCTCATCATGTGGAAATTTACAGCAACAGCCAAATACTCTAAAATGCTTGGCGTTGATTCGAAATATGGAGGGGGAAAACTCGGAGGACCTGGAGAAAATTCCACGCGACCCTGGGGAGGACATGCAAACTCTAAATCTATAGCAGGCGTCGGGGTCGGGATCGAACCCACGTTTTCCTTTAAACCAGGTGAGGTAGATAACATCTCCGATCCACCGTGGCACCCATGTTTGGGGCTGACCTAGAGAAGGCTTCGTCACCCCCAGCGTTTGGTGAACAATGTCGTTGTGAAGGTTGCTGT